TTATGGTAGAGAGTGTGGTTATTATATTTAACTGATACTGCATGGGCACGTACCCCTGCCAGTTTGTTTCCAGCAATGGTGATGTCGTAACTCTCTGTACGCAACTCTGGTCTTATCATTTCAGTCATGCTGCCAATGGATGTGTGGGTTCCATGTGTTGTTTTGTGGTTGTAGCTCTTGGATCACATTTAGTTTTGTCATACGTCGGTCTTAGATACTGTCTGTTCATTGGCCCAGAACGATCACGTGAGAGGGCGATATATCCGCATGTCACACTCACCGTGCAGGCACGCGCACAAGGGGAAAGAGCTTCAAGAAGTTCAAAAGCAACTGTTGTCGCTCATTTAGTCAGTTTTTCATGGTACCCATGATACATTTTGTGCACAGGTTACCAGGGCATTCAATCAGTGGTCATGCTCATTTAACAGACTCATTCTTATCCCCGCAGTGTATTAGGTAATGCAGGGACTAGTTAAACCTGACTACATGACATGTGAACTGGTACTCACTGGTTCCCGCACTACTTTTCCTTTGAAGTTTACGCAATTAACAAAAGTGAGGGAACAATGCATTCACAGACGATGTTGTTTATATCTTTTATGTGAGTTACACAGTTTGACAGTAGGTTTATCGTCTTCTGAAGTTCTGAAATTCGGAGTTGGTATCTTTGGATAAATTCCACAATCTCAACATAATTAAGACAGAGGTATGACAAAGCAATTGTTGACTGCTATAATGTGGGACATGGATGTTTTGAACACCCAAGTGACGCATAGCGCCCCATGGCGAAATTTTAAGAGTACTCCCCAGAGAGTGAATATTGTCTTAGAATACTTTGTTGGCCCATGGAGCAGGGGTAGTATCATCACCATGTCTGGGGCACTTACATGTACATGTATCTAAATTTAGCGGTGATCTTTACCGAAAGATTCCAGTTTCACGTGGTTGATCATTCAGAGTGATACCTATCAGAGTTTTTTTAAGATGGACAACAGCCGTAGCAGTCCTGAATCCTCCAGTTTTAATACAGTTTTGCACACTCTGTAGAGAGTTATGGTGAAAAAACCCTCCTTGCATTGCTCCATGACAACACAGCAGACAGAATTTGAGATCCAGTTTTGTTTTACAACCATTACATGTTCAGGTATGAGAGTTCTGACAGTGAAGATGATGCAGAGGATCAGCATTCCAACGCCGGTTCCTCTAGCGGCTTTGAGCGACACATTTGCTACCTGTAAAAGCTGGTAGGTAACAATTCTCCCCCCCCCCGGAAAACTAGCTGAATGGCATTCAGCCAAGCACATGACAAAATGCCCCCCAATCTAGCCAAATGTGTAGCATTGTCTTTGTCTGATGGAGGTCTAGTCTTTGATACAATTCACGGTACTTTCCTATTCCAGCAGTTCTGGTCATATCTTCATCAGATTGAAGGCTTGGCTCACATCTGTACTACAGATCTGTCCTGTTCATGTCACATTATTTCCTCCTCTTGCCCATTTAGGGCAAACATAAATTAGACAATGTTGCTAAATCCTTGAGCAAATAGGTTCAAGTCGTAAGTGTTGACCTTGATATTTTACGTTTGCTTGTATGCCCTCCCAGTTTTGTTCAATTTAGAAGTAATCCTCAATTGTATAAAGAACAAAATCTGAATGTGAACTCAAATATGGACTTGTTATGACAGGTGGTTTAGGAAGAGATAGCATTGCAGGTGATAAACTCTTAGATCATATCCTTCCAGTTTTCAGGAAAATGGGCTTTGGGGATTTACAGTGAAATAATGGCAAAGCGACCACAAGCTTTTGCGTGTCATTGGATCTGGCCTTTGTAATGTCGGTTTTGGTTTCTACAAAACAGTTTGCACGTGAAGCATATCTTGAAGCCTGTTCTTTGTGAAAATGTACAACTTTCATTTTCACAAAGAACAGGCTTCAAGATATGCTTCACGTGCAAACTGTTTTGTAGAAACCAAAACAAATACAGGTACGTGTACCTGTATATTTACCCCAGACGTCATGCCTATTTGTATGTATGTGCGAAATGTGTTTGTATTCTTGTTAAAAGTTGAAAAGAATTGGCAGCCAACGGTTTCTGAACATGACATCAGTGGGGGCTTTCAAATTGCCAAAGTGTAAAGTTGTCAGTTGCATTGTCTTGTCCTGAACAATGCCTAAATTATCAACACTGAGAATTTTTAAAAGTTCTGCCTGAAGAAACCTGTATGTTGAAACTCAAGAGCTCAAAGATGTTTACCACATTGTAAGGTAGCATTGTCATCACTGACAAATTCCTGAGTGACAAAGTCTAATTAACTAGGTATTGCTCTTTGAAACCTGTGCAGATCTACCGAAGTCCATCAGAGAGACATGTTAATTCCCTTGTGAATTACAGTCGCTTGGCTGTACAGACCTGAACCCAGCAAAAGCAATCAAGACAAATTGGTGGATTTGGGCAGATTTTGCAATACATGAGGAGTATAGTAGGAAATTGGCCTAGTGCCAAGACCAGAAAGTCCGAGAGAGAAGTCTGTAAGGGTTATTTATAGTACCAAGAGATCTCTGTCATTAATCGAATCATGGTTACTGTTGTGCTTATATTATCATTGTGACACATTGTAATTGGAAGATGAAGTACTTGTTTCCTGTGAGTTGCGAATATGTATTCATCGGTGCCATCTGAAATCAGAGTTTTTTATAATGTGAATATGCTTTAGTGTTTGGTAAATTTTTGTTTAAATTTGGGTATATGTGTGAATGGAATGTGGATGGAAAGGCATGTTGGGGGAAATTTTTATTTTTCAAAACTCCAGAGAGATCTGGAATTTATATGAAGAATGTCGGCCTTTTGATTTATTTTGCCTCTGTGAGGCCTATACCACAGGTCTGTTAGACATCACTCTTCTAGTCTTAGGAAACAAGGACAACCCCCCCTCCACTACTACCACAGCACCGCCCACCAACATGAGCCTTTATCATTCTTGAATATGCATCAGTTTTGGTTGCTTCCCAAGATTTTGAGATGTTTGTGTTTTTCATAGGAATGCTGTATTGTTCCCCAGCTGAACTGTAAACAAAATATAACTGAGTACTCGGAGACCAGGCTGAAGTAGGTAATTTAGATGTGTAACAGGTTGTCTCCCTACTTGTTAATTTTCATGATAGTAGGAATATGACGTAAAGCACAACTTTCATTTGAAGGCAGCTGTTACAGTTACAGGCAAGGAAAGTTGTGTTATTTGCCTGTTTTCTATCTGTATTGGTATCATACCCTGGATGTTATCTTATAATCCCTTAGCCTGGCTTGGGGTCATAAATGACGGACCAGCTGGAAGTTAGTGGAGCTGACGTTTTGGAATGGGCCGCGTTCTTGTTCCGTCAGAATCTATCTTAAGCTCTGAACAGAGTGATTGCAAACACGTCCAATCAACCCAAATTGGGAGATTTTTTACAGTCTTCCGGCTTGACCCCACAACTGATACAGCAAATCAGTTAAGCCTTCCCAGCCCCAATGCATCAAAATCCACTATCTGACTTGGTTGGATTCTGAAGGGTCAGTACTGGAGGCCAGACATAACTGTACATGGACCTCAGTGTCCTTGTTTTGTACAAAGAATGCGTCACTGTTGTACAGCATAGTGTTTGATAGATTTAGGAGTCCCCTACAAAAATGTCGCGGAACTTCAGTTAGGGCCAATGTACTAAATCAAAGATGTTACAATAGTCGTTCAAGGTCAGAGGTGGATCTTGAATACAAAAGCTTTAACGAATGAAAAATATAACAAGTGAAGATTAACTTTCCATTTGTCATGTTGCGAGTTTGCAATCATCAGTCTTCTTAAAATTTTGACAAATCACTTTTACAAATAAGCCGGGAATTCATTTTAGTTTGTTTGACTTTGTATTCCCTTTACGAAATTCCACCGGCATATTTATATTGTGTTTATATAACCAGCATTAAAAAAGGCTGCAACTATTCTTGTATTTTGTATTCAAAACAAAATTTATTTTTAAAATCATTTTTAATTACAAGATATATACATAAGCAGCGTGTACATTATATACATCTTAATCTTTCCAATGCAGAGCATTTATTTTACGTGTGAGTGGCTGTTAATAAATTTATTACACATTCATTGTACAGGCTTTCTAAAATATTAATTCCTATATTTATGGTAGACTTTTATTGCTTTTCCAATGATGTACATGTAAAGGTAAAATTGTGACAAGGTGTACTTGTAATAAAGTGGAAACCGTCCGTTATTGCGGACTCCCTGCGGATGTATCGCACATTTCCTTTGGTTATCTTTTTTCTTTTCTTTTCTTTTTTCTTTTCTTGTTTTTGGGGTGTTTTTTTGTTTTTTGGTAGCGATTAGTTCAAAATTTGTGGTTATTATATAACATATCCGTGCAATAATTTGTTTAATACAGTCTTAAGAAGTAATTTCAGTAATACAAATAATGAACTTTTGTGTGTTCATTCGTACTTTGGCCAAAAATAAGCCATCTGACCCACCGCCATCTTCATTACCAGAGGAAACAGACATTCTGACCTCTTCTAAACCTGCCCCCCTCTCTTACATTATCGTGTTTTGGCTTTAAACTGCCATCATTCCTTGTCCTGAATAAAATAATGCCTGCACTGTATATGCATACTTAGAAGTACAAAGCTCGTCAAGTAGACTTCCTGCGTAAGCTTGATGTGGCCTTCCGCTCCACCACAAAATAACGGAAACCCACCATCTGTCCTGAAGCTAACGGACGTTACTATCTTCCGTCCGGTTGCTCTCAGTTATCCTGTTAACTGTACTTTTTTCTAAGGCCTTTCGACCGCTGTAAAGAGAATTGATGGTGATGACACCCATTTATTCATGTATTGAGGCCTATACTTCAAATGGTATTTTGGCCTTTTCAATCATTCAATGAAGACATTTTATTCGATCTGTACACTTTCGTCGACGAGGTATTTTCTTTGGCTATAATCGATAATTATGGCTATAAAAGGGACATCAAGCTGTTTACAAAATCATTTCCAAATGTGACAAAAGTATTCATTCGAATGAATAATTCGCACGGCACAAAATCAGAATAGCAAAGGAATGCTCATAAAAATAGCAAAAGTTACATGGAGTAACATCACGGGTGTGCATCAGCAATTCTATTTAAAGTACAAAAAGCTCAGATTGTGTAAATCTGGTGGGAAATGTTTTGAAGAAGGTGCTTTGTTAAGACCTGCTGAACAACAAAGAGTTGAACAGTTACAACATCCTCGCTGTTCTATGCCAGCTGAGATATGCACACGCTCACAAATAGCCTAGTCGAAACACTCTCCAGTAACTCAAGAAATAGAGGCAACTAGTTCGTGAGTACACGTACTAAATTCGGCTTTATATGAATTGTGTTACGAAGCATCGGGGTGGTTCTAGCCTAGAACGTCTTTTCACACTCTCAGAGAATCAAAATTAAGTCTTGATTATACGCGTATCCATTACTGGTATTTACGGTATCAAGTGTTAACTTTCTATAAATAGACAAAATGGCCGGTGGTCAGTTTTTAGTGTATGCTGTCATGTTCAATATTCATTGCTGCATCTCTGCGATCTGGCATTTCATTCACAGCCCTTTCCAGTCCCCGGGGTAGGGTAAAGTCGCTGTTGATGTTGGGCAGTCGTAGTCTACCTCTTCAGGTGAGGATTTTTTGCTCAACTTTCCCTTGAGACTCCAGCGAAACTTCTTCCGAGGTTCAGTCACGTTCGGCGGCTTGGTACCGCGAGGTGGTAGGCGGGGATGCGGTTCGGCAGGGACCCATTCTGACGCTACGCACTCTGCTGTTGACCCGCTGACTTGCTGACTCTTCACCATAGCTGACCGGCTGCGCTGGGGTAACTTCCCATACGGACCGTCGTAGGTATCGGGGTTACGGGTGAAGTTTTTAGCGGAGTAGCTGCGTTGCAGCCTGCCGTAGGGGTTCGTGTCTAGGTCCGCTACCCCACGTGGGCACTTTGGTAGTTCTATCTTTTGTGACGGGGCCCTGCTCAATCTTGAGTAGACTCCGTCGTCTGGTGGTGACACTGACTTCGTGGGAGGACCACACGGCTCGTAAGCGTTGCTCGACAGCGGTCGCTGCGCTAAATCGGGCCGGGTCGTCTCCGGTCTGCGGTCGAGCACCGCAAACATCTCAGCATCCCTAGGGCTGAAGCCGAAAGGAGACGCCAGCGTGGGCGAAGCGGCCGAGAGAGACCCACGGGACGAAGCCTGCGATGAAACCCTAGAACGCTCGCTGCTCGTGCGGGAAGTGGACCGATTATTGATTGGTAGCCCACCAGCCGGGGAGTTGATCAGTGACTGTGGTTCGAGCTCATCGTAGTCGTCATCTGGAATCTTGGGACTGTCCAGGTTTACTTGTTGCTCGAGGGTAAAGTAAAATGGGTCGATGTTTGGGGTAGCACTCTGTCTTTGAAGAGAGGTTGACGAACTACCGTTAGCTTCCTTACGTAGAGCTACTGGGGAGTTTCTCGAAGGGATGTTCATGTTAGAGTCAGTCTGGTATAGATTCAGGTTGGGTTCGCTGTGGTTGACAGTCAGGGGGGACCCAGTTCTTGGGATGTTCATGAGAGAGGAGCTTCGCTGGACAGACATCGGTGACTCGCATCGTTGAACAGACATCGGGGACTCGCATCGTTCGCGTTGGACAGACATTGGTGACTCGCAGCGTTGGACGGTCATTGGCGAGTCGCTCCGCTGTACTGTCATGGGTGAGCTACAGCGTTGCAGACCGGCTGGTGAGACTGGCCGGTTCTGCTGGACTGGAGATTGGCTTCGCCTTTCATCTTTTCCTAGAATCATTGGTAGGTAGCCAGGCGGTCGGTTTCCCGTGTTGCCTGTTGGTGCTATTGAATCAAAGGGGTCGGCATAATCATCTTCTATGGTCACGCCGCCGTGGTAGATGCAGCTCAGCGACTTGCCGCTACGGTCCACTGTCTGCGGCTCGTCCACCACATTCGAGTGCGGCCGGCTCTTGGCCTTTTCCGCAGCGGACTCTTGTTTTCCGTTGGGCCGCCACTCTGCCATGAGACTACGGCGTGACGTGCCACCCGGTAGAGGCGGTGCGCTCCCGTAATTGCAGACCATGGCCGCCACGCTGGCTGGCAACGGGGCGTCCATTGCTGGAAGGGGAGAATGGACAGATAACGGTCTGCGGTGGTAGTTGTGCACGCTAGATCGGATGCTGCCTCCTCGTTGAAACATGTCTGGTAGCGCAGGAGGTGTCTTGGTAACTTCTGGGAAAAAAACAGGATTTTTTTTAAAATCACCATTTCTCTAAATATTTGTGCTTGCAGAAGTCTAAACAAAAGCACTAAATAGACGTTTTGCATGGTAGCCATCTTGCAGGGCAGTTCTTCTGTTTCAAAGGGAAATCTCGTTTGTGCATGCCATGTGGAACAAAAGAGTTGTCCTGCATGCAAAATGGCAGCCATGCAAACCTCGTGCCATCTCCCGCTTCTGCTCAGGCACTTTGAATGAATTAATTTTGCTGACAAATCAAACGTCCTGATTTACTCTTCCGAGATTGTAGAACCACGGACAAGCCACACTCCCTTTACGTGACGAGGACTGTGGTCCTAGCTCCATTTCGACTTATTCCTGTGGTTTATGCAATGAACTAATCCATTGACACGACCACACCGATACAGGAGCGGCTCTAGATTAGATTTTTGCAAAGGGTTAGTGTTAAGGTGAGGGAAATGTTGCCAATTTACGAGTATTTGTTGGAGTTTAGTTTGGTACATAATTTAAAGTCACATCCGGTAAAATAAAAATGGAGGGCATTTACAGAAAACGTTGCAGACTGTAGTGACCCACAACAACGAAGTCACATTTAGTGCAATTGCTTCCTCCTTTGCCATAAAACATCCAATACAGTGCAGAGTTTTCTTTTCGGGAAAGTACCCTCATATCTTAGTTTCCAAATTCCACTTAAATACAGCCTCTCTTCAGAGTTGGTGATTGTGTATAATTTGCATAATAGATCATTAGTTGAGCGAGACTAGAGCAGAGACCTTGATCAGTCACAGATTCGTTCACGGTCAAACCTTGGAATGGAAGGTTTAGAAAAAAATCGTGAAAAAGTCTTACGAAGAACAAGTCTACAATGGCCCTTTACCCCAGTTGAACCGACATTGCTGTATTATTATTTCAATCCCAGCTAGTTTCCCCTCTCCCAAGGAAAAATAGCCACATTTAATTTGAGCAGAAAACAAACAATGAAATTGGCTGGACATTTTTGGTCAGCTAAGAACCGCTTAAAGTCAATTTGATGTTAATCAAGAATGCTTTGAAGAGAGAACGATATAGCTGAAATGATTAGCCCTATTTTTTTCCTTCTCAATAACAAACCAAACACTTTTGTTGACTGTGCAGCTTCACGAAGGCAAAACAACAGAACAAAAGAGTACACAGGGAATGCGCAGCTGCACGTTAATGTACAGTGTGTTTTTACTGATTTGCCTTTTCAGACAAATTCTGATGCGTTATGATGGCTGCTTTTAATGTGACTGAAATCCTGCACTCGTGCAAAGTTCCTTTCAGGAGTTCGATTTTTCTTTTTAAAAATGAATAAATCCTGCTGTCCCTAGACTGACTTACTGTTATAAAAACCATTTATTCAACTTGCCGTATCAACGCTCCAGAAATTAACCCTAATTATAACCCTAATTAATTATGATTTTGAATGCATTAGTAAGGCATCATTTGAGCTTCACAAATTGTAATTACTGTTTAAGATAATGTTGTTTACCTACCTTGTTCAGTTGGAGCGCCTTTGCTGAGTTCATCCACTGTCTCATACACGTTGTCCTGTCGGTAGATCTTTGGCTGTCTGTTCAAAATGAAAGCAAAGCGGGCGTTTTTATAAGCAGCCTTATGTGTGTCAACCAGGAAATCGATTTTTTTTCTTTTTTTTGGTTCTGTGGCTTCGATACCAACGCGGTATCGAAGTAGCGTTGAGTTGTGGTACATCGAGTTGTCGGTGATTCGGTGCTCGCCGTTATGGTCTCAACACTCTAATTCTGTTACCTTGTATATATTTACTTTTTCTAGATGAAAATTTGTAAGCACCCAGTCAGTTTCCCTAAACGGTTTGTTTCAGGATTTATGTTCAAACAGCCGTATCCTCTTTGAGTGCATCCCTGTTCACCATTTAACGGGTTGTATCGTATTATTGGGGCGTGATCCTTGGTTACATGGTGTTTCAGGTTTAATGAACAAAGATATTGACAAATGGGAAGAGCTGCCATCATACGGCTGGATAGCTCAGTTGGTAGAGCACAGGTACGGCATTCTAGAGGCCGCAGGTTCAAATCTGGCTTCAGTCAATTTCTTTGTCCATCTTTATAATCATTTGTAAACACCTAGTCAGTTTCCCTAAATTTGTTAGATGAAAAATTGTTAAAACTGAAGTTTTTCGACTGGTGCTGCCGAAAAAATAATGTTATCATTCTGTCGATAACAGCCTGATCGAGATTTGCTGTCACACTGCCCTGGCCTTTTCTCACTGCATTTGGAATTTTCATTTCCTGAACAATTCATTTCCTTGTGTTTAAACCCGATAGGAATTGCATTTCGCAACTCTCTTCACACTTAAGCGATAGAAGATATTCCCTCGATTTTCCTTTTCCTCCGAGGAAGGACTTTTTTTTCACAAATTCTATGCAGTCAACCTTTATGCATCTCGTACAATATGCCTGATCATTTCTGGACAAGTTAATTCCTTCTAAATAGAAGACACAGAAAAAAGGTCTCTGAAAATGTAAGGTGTTTGGAACTTAGCCGAATTTTGTATTGTTAAATCGGTTTTGTGCTCGAACTTTGTGTTACATCAGTGGTTCATGGGCAACTACAAAGTTTTGGTTGTTGATCAATGCGGAAATATGCCAACAAAATCTCTGGCTCTACATCCCTTTGTTATTTCAATGTGTAAGCATGGGATAAATTATATACCATTATAAGCGCGTTCATGTAATTTTACCTTGAAGTCGCATTTTGCAGGGTGATGGGACGTAACACCTAGTAATTTGAATACGAAGTGCATTATATCAAAGATATATATCTTCAGGAAATTCGCAATTTTAGTAACTAGGGAGTTCTCGTATTACACTGGTGTAAACAGAATAAAAGACCAACCATAAATTAATACCGAAATTGTAACATGTTGTCACGTGATCCTTCTGTGTCAAGTAAAAAAAGGCTTATCAGACAAAGATTCTGTGTATCCAGTCCCATGGGCTTGGTGCTATTTCCTGTAATATTAAGCTACCAAACCCCTGTGTTGACATGAACTCGACTTTCCTGTTTCGAGTCAAGCGTCATGGTAGATGATTTTGATGGCAAATGGCTAGATCATTTCAAAATGCATCGCAGCAAGGTAAAATAATATTTACAAAATGTAGTTTTTACTACTCGCACTATACAATATTTGTTTCAAAAGGTATTACATAAAACAGAAGTTTCTCCAACAGGAAGCTGTCATGATAAACTCAACAAACTTGTAAACTCAACAAATCAGTGTTAGCATCGAAACTAGGTCTCATCGGTTAGTGTTGTCAGGATGCTGCTTGAAGAATAACTTTCATTTTCTTTGCTAAAAACCTGCATTGTATTCAAACCAACGAGTTCTACTTAAAAACAAGGAAAGAAAAATGACCTCAAATGACCGCTGCTGAACTACACGTGGACGGAACCAACTCGGCCATCAAACCGTATTTCAAAGAAAAGTTTCCCAATTTTATAATGTCCTAAATCCCATAATTTATTGTTTGGGAATCATGTTTTAACTTACAAACTTATGGGGTTCCCCCCCGGTAGTTGTCTCGTGCAATGAATCACAATTAACAGATGTGGTTCAGTGACACTGCAGGTTTTTACAAGGCTCACTTACCGTGTTAGGGCCGACCGAGGTGATGACACCTGTCGCCGAAGAATCAGTAGCAGAAGCACCACAACGACCAACAACAGCGCGGCAATGGCACCAACCACGCCCCAGAACGGGGCCGTAGGATAGAACTCATTTCCCCCGGCGACAGCCTCGTCATCGCTCCGCTGCGGCGACCCATCGGTTGCCGCGTCGGTACCGCTAGCTGGGGCGGGCTTGACGCTGTGTTTCTTGGCGGCTGCTCGTGTCATTGACCTGGCGGTGGTGGGGATGTTGACCGTTGTTTTCTGGATGGTATGGTGAAGTAACGTCCCTGATGATGGTGGGGTAGGGGAGGGTGGTCGTGGGAATGTCGTGCCGGCTGTTATGGTGATGGTTTTTAGCGGTTCAAGTTGTGTTGTTCGAGGTATTGTGACGGTTGCCGTACTTACGTCTGTTTCAGACAAAAATGCACGAGACCTATTAACTCATTTACAATTTTTCTCGTGCTCTTATTCGGAGTTTGAAGTGGCCTGACTTAAACTCGTTCCTATGATGTGAGCTCCAAATATGAAGGGAAAATTCCATAAATTGTTGTTTGCCAATAATAAAGCGAATCACGTTTACATCAGTTCTTTCGCTTAGTGCTTGAAAATGAGCGCACGACCAAGAAATATTTCGGGGTCCTTCAATAAATCAAGAACTGTCTCCAAAACTTTCTTCCTCTGTTTAGAAATAATAACAATAATAATTTAACCCGCCCTCAATTCGCTTCAAAGCTCCTGGCAATAGAAAGCACCTTTTAATTCAATCTGTCTCCCAAAGGAGCATGATCACGTGATTCATCTCAAGGCCCGCTCCATACACCCAACGGATTTGCCCGTATATCCGTAGAATGTTTCCACAGCCGTCAAGGTATAGTCCATTTCCATCAACATCACTTCAATGTTCGGGGAAGACCCTATTCCCCTTTGGACTGGACTTTTTAAAAACAAAAACTGTGACTCACCACAGCATATCCGAAGCCCTGATGGTAATGAATGTGCGCTTCATGTCGGTAAAAGCCTAATAAAATCTCCTTTCGTGTTTTACATACATTGGTGATGATTACTATTATTTTGGGAATGTGAATCTTACATTTTGCCGGCTCCTTTCTCTAAAACTAAGTGGTTTTTCCTTGTAACATTTTGGAAACTGTCGGTGGTTTTACTTGCTAGACATTTTTAAAACACACCTCATGAAATGTAAGAAGTGTTTGGTCAGCTTTTACTTCAATCTTGCCCACTGCTTCCGCGTCGATTTACAGTAAAGCACGTGGCCTGATTCACACTTGTCGCTGTACATCCCATTACTTCCTACTGCGAAAGGACTTGTGACTGGCCTATGAAAGGACTTGTGACTGGCCTGTGAAAGGACTTGTGACTGGCCTGTGAAAGGACTTGTGACTCGCCTGTGAAAGGACTTGTGACTGCCCAGTGAAAGGACTTGTGACTGGCCTGTGAAAGGACTTGTGA